ATCATTTAAATACTAGTATCACTTTGAAGGTGGTTTAAAGAATTCTAAGAAAAGTGCCCCCTACTTAAATAAAGTCTTTTTCTCACCAGCTTGCCACAGCATCTATAATTCATTCATTGCCCTTCATCTGCAGGAAGGCCATAGAAAATTCAGTGTCCAGGAAGGAATAAAACAACCTGTCATACAGTTCCTTTAAGGTGACAGGGTCTTATTTATTGCCAGGAAGCTGGAGAGGATAGGGAGATGGTGCTGAACTCAAGGTACACTCCTTCTGGCTTTGTCATTTTGCCAAGAATGGACCCTGCAGACAAACTAAAATACTGTCTCAGTCACAGGCGCCTTCCAAGGTTCTTGGAACTTCCATAAGAGAATAGGGTAGAAAGATATTTAAGTTCTTATACTCTGAATCAATGGGCCAACTTTTTGGGTACTGAAAAGGTCTCTGCATACCACTCATCATGTTCTTTAAAGATTTCACATATTTAACAAAAAGTGGATTCCCAAAAAGCAATTTTAAATGAACATTGTCTCCAGGCTAAATCTTTTTCAGGATGATCGTAAATGTTCAGGAGGCCTAGCATCCCTCTTATTCAGGAGATAAAATGAATATTTCTGGCTGGGAGCAGTGGCTCATGCCTGCAATCCCAGCACTTTGGGAGCCCGAGGTGGGTGGATCACCTGAGGTCAGGAGTTCCAGACCAGCCTGGCCAACATGGTGAAACCCTGTCTCTACTAAGATACAAAATAATTAGCCGGGTGTGGTGGTGGGTGCCTGTAATCTCAGCTACTCGGGAGAGTGAGGCAGCAGAATCTCTTGAACCCGGGGGGGCGGAGGTTGCAGTGAGTTGAGATCGTGCCACTGCACTCCAGCCTGGGTGACAGAGTAAGACTCTGTCTCAAAAAAAATAAAAAATTCTATTTTTAACAGGTTAATATTTTGTGCTGCACACCGGATCAATATTGTTGGAATGGTTTGCTCCTCTTATCCCCAGAATTCTTCCTGGGAAGCTGGTGTTCACAATTATTAGAATGTGAACACCAATAAGATGATCCGTTTTAACACCCGGACTTTATAGATGAGGAAACTGAAGTGCAGGGTTGATGGTGATTTAAAGAGAATTGCTCAGTGGGCAGAGTGTGGGCTTTGGAATCAGGCCACTGACTAGTGATGTGAACTTGGGTGACCTGATTGATATTTCCAAGCTGCAGTTTCATCTTCTGTTAAGACAGTTCTTAGGTAAATAATGTCTATAAGGCACCTACTCAAAAAATGAACTCAAAATTTTTCTATAATAATACTATTTTCATTGTGAACTCCAAATTTGCCCAATAATACTATATTCATGGTTTTTTAAACATTGAGATACAATTCACATAACAGAAAATTCACCATTTCAAAGTGTGCATTTCAATGAGTTTTAGTGCTGAGTTGTGCAACCATCACCACTACTTAATTCCACAACATTTCCTTACCCCTCAAACCCTGGGTCTATTAGCAGTGAGTCCCAATTCCCCTCTCCCCCATTGCTGAGCAAGCACTAATCTTCTGTCTCTATGAATTTGCCTGTTCTGGATGTGTCATGTAACGGAATCGTACAACATGTAGCTCTTTTGTGGTCTGGCTTCTTTCACTTTGCATAATGTTTCCAGGTTTTACTCATGTCGTAGCATATAACTCATTCCTTTTTACTGACAAATAGTATTCTATTGTATGGATACACCAACATTTGTTTATCTGTTCATCAGCTGATGGAAATGGAAGACCCAGAGGTCAGGCCTGGTGGAAAACAGTCACCATTGTTTTAATGGTTAGGTCAAAGCCCAAAGGAGGACTTGGGTGACCCACTCTCAATCTGGTCTTGTGTTGATGCCCTGCACTGTCTTTTGTGACATCTGAGCGCATGTATTTTAAATGGTAGTAGTTTGCTCAAAGAAAACCTTACAACCTGGCTACCTACTTTTAGGATTTTATATTTTTCCGTGGATTTTTCCAGTATGGAAAAAATGTATACACAAAGATATGAAATCTATACATTATAGAAAAATTGTCCTGAGAGCCAGGTTTAATTTTTATTTTCAAGACTAGTGGATGGTCTTTTATTTTATTTGAGATGGAGTCTCGCTCTGTCGCCCAGGCTGGAGTTCAGTGGCTCAATCTTGGCTCACCACAACCTCTGCCTTTTGGGTTCAAGCGATTCTCATGCCTCAGTCTTCTGAGTAACTGGGACTACAGCCACACACCACGACGCCTGGCTCATTTTTGTATTTTTAGTTGAGATGGGGTTTCACCATGTTGGCCAGACTGTTCTGGAACTCCTGACCTCAGGTTATCCGCCTGCCTCAGCCTCCCCAATTGCTGGGATGACAGACGTGAGCCACTGCCCCTGGCTTAGTAGATGGTCCGAAAGCCTCTTTGTCCCTCTGTATTTCACAGGATGACCTGGCATCTGTGCAGGATCTTTTATCTGCCGATTTTTGTACCTGTAAGTTTACTACCATGGTTTATAGCCTGAGATCAAAGAAGACTTTTATTGAGTTTGGTTGATGTTTGAGTCATGAGTCCCTCCTTTTTTGTTGTTCGCTTTATTCCATGGCAGAAAATTCAGAAGTATTCTCTTCTTTAGTTAGACAGTCACTGTCATTCCATCAACGTGACCATTACACATGGGGAATGTATGCCTTTGGGCCAGAATTTAGTGCATTTCAATCACATCTGGTCACCTCTCCTTCGCGCTCCCTTGCCTGCTACCTAAGTGAAAGCTCACTATGAGATGAGAGGAGGCCTTTGATGATCTGGCCTCCTTCCCACGTAATATAATGACTGGCTCAGCTCTCAGGTCTGATTTCCCTGCTGACAAGATCACAGAAGGCATGCTAATGTCACTTCACCTGCAGTCTTCATTTCTTCAGAGGCAGCATTGCATGCAGCCCCAGGCTTTTACTTCGTGGGCGTGTGAAGTCCAGAAGCAGATATGATTTGTGAAGGATTTGGTTGTTCACACTTTTGCTTAGGAATGAGTGATGTGTAGAATGTGGCAAGTTTCCAGTGGGGAAGGCATTCCCTGGGTTCATCACGGATTTGTGCTGCTGGATCTTGGGTAGCACAAGTGGAGGGTCCAGCCCCGCCTGGTTTCCTGACTTTGAGCAAGTGTTTTCTTTGCTAAAGCTTTGATGATCCGGTCCTGAATACCCCTAATTACTCATTTCATTTGATGTTGTATTTTCTTACTGTTCTTTAAGATCTGGAGCAGTTACCATGTGGTGTTCTGCTTCACACACCTTATCTCGTTTATATTATTTCCTGCTTCTCAACATCTGCCAGCTCTCCCATACATGAAAAAGCGACAGACCCTGGCCCTTGTCTTTCCACGCTGAGCGTCCCTTATTCCTTCACTGTTCCTGGTTGACAGTCTGCAGCAGCCTTTCGTTCTGGTCCCCCTTTGCCTGTGTGTTTTCTATATTGTCAGTGTTCTTCCTAACGTGGTATCCAGACTGGAAATGACACTCTATGTGTGCTGTGATCAGCCCCAACTAGCACTGTTACCAAGACCTGAGCCCGATCCTCATTCAACACAGCGTACTGTTGCCGCCGGTGCCTCCTTAGCCGGTTGCCTATTTGTTTTGTTTTGTTTTGTTTTTTGTAGACAAGGTCTCACTCTGTCACCCACGCTGGAGTGCAGTGGTGTGATCTTGGCTCACTGCAGCCTCTGTCTCCCAGGCCCAAGCGATCCTCATGCCTCAGCCTCCCAAGCAGCTAGGATTACAGGCATAGGCCACCACGCCGGGCTAATTTTTGTATTTTTAGTAGAGACGTGTTTTGCATGTCACCCAAGCTGGTCTCGAACCCCTGGATGGACTAGAGCAGTCCGCACACCTTGGCCATCCAAAGTGCTGGGATTACAGGTGTGAGCCACTGCACCTGGCCACCAGTTGCCTTTTTTTTTTTTTTTTTTTTTCTGGTTGAGATGGCATCTCACTTTGTCACGCAGGCTGGAATGCAGTGGCACCATCTCAGCTCACTGCAACCTCCTTCTCCCAGGTCCTGGTTCAAGCAATTCTCCTGCCTCAGCCTCCCAAGTAGTTGGGATTACAGGCACGTTCCACCACACCCAGCTAATTTTTGTATTTTTTAGCAGAGACAGGGTTTCACCATGTTGGCCAGGCTGGTCTTGAACTGCTGACCTCATGATCTGCCCACCTCAGCCTCCCAAAGTGCTGGGATTACAGGTATGAGCCACCATGCCTGGCCTCACCAGTTGCCTTTTAATACCAGCCAACATCTGTGACCCCTACTCAGTGAGGCCTAGACTCCCGTTGTGGTGTTATTTGCCCCTAAGAGCAGAACTTGACACTTTCCCCGATCCATGCTGTCCATTCTTTACTCTGGGGACTCATAGTTTCATTCCATTGGAATTAGATGGATGGGCGCCTAGCATAATTCAGATGCAAGAAATGACTGGAGCGAAGAAGAATTTTATTTTATTTTATTTTATTTATTTTTTGTACTTTGGGCTCTGGGGTACACGTGCGCATCCTGTAGGATTGTTGCATAAGTACATACATGCCACATCCCCCCCGCCTCCCTGGTTGCCTACATCAGGCATTTCTCCCAGTGTGATCCCTCCCCATGCACCCTGCCCCCGCCCCCCCGCTGTCCCTCCCCTCCCCAAGAATTTTATTTTTTAATGATATGTTAGCATTGGCTGTGTTCCTAGAAAAATCCTCCTCCAGCTCCTGATCCTATGGTACTTAAATTAGTAATTTCTAGTTCTTGGGGTTTTGTGTTTGTTTTGGGAGTTGTGGGGTCATTTTTTGCACCAGTTATTACATAGATTAAAAAAATGAATTGGGCGTTGAACCTCTTCAGGGAGCTTAGTACCTCAGTCCTTTGGCCAACTTGTTGTCACTTGGGTCCTGTATGGACCCTTGAATTTCTCGGTCTGCTGTGCTGCCCAGGAAGGGTGTGTGGGTTCTAACTGGCGCCTCTCTGTGTGTTACAGTTACCTGGCTGAGCAGTGCTGGAATGGCGGCTTTATCTACCTGATCATGCTGCGTCGCTTTAAGCACAAAGCCCACTCCGCTTATAATGGCAACAGCAGCAACAGCTCTGAACCAGGAGAGACACCTACGTTGGAGTTGGGTGACCGAACTGCGAAAAAGGGAAAAAGAACCAGAAAGTTTGGGGTCATCTCCAGGCCACCTGCCAACAAGGCCCCTGAAGAATCCAAGGGCAGCACTAGCTGTGAGGTGTCCAGTGACCCCAGCGCTGAGCTGGAGAACGGCCCTGACCCTGAACTTGGAAATGGCCATGTCTTTCAGCTAGAAAATGGTCCAGATTCTCTCAAGGAGGTGGCTGGACCCCATCTAGAGAGGTCAGAAGTGGACAGAGGGACAGAGCAGAGAATTCCAAAGACAGATGCTCCTCTGACCACAAGCAATGACAAACGCCGCTTCTCAAAAGGTGGGAAGACGGACTTCCAGTCGAGTGACTGCCTGGCACGGGTAAGCTTTGGTTTGATTGTGGAATCAGAATTTTATTTATTGTGGGTGTTTGTTGGTTTTTGCAGCCCAGCCCATATGGGAAATACAAGCTGGGCTCAGAATTTTAAAAGAAATATTGTTTGAAGTTGCTTTTGAGGTTTAAAAAAGACATCTAAGATGACCTCGCATTGAGAAACCAACAAATCCATTAAGATAAGTGATCAGAGAATGACAAAACTCCAGTCATTTTATCCTACGTAAATGAAGAGCTAGTCGGTGATCCTAAGTGGAAAACTCAAGCCTTCTGTGTTAAAATTTGAGTCATGTGAGGTCCAGATAAAGTGCTTAGCTGCATCATTATTTATCGCTGCTGTCACTAGTGGAATTATTGCTGCAAGGCCAAGAATTCCTGGTGACAGTCCACAAACATCTAAGCCTAGTATTACACAGGAAGGGTATTCAATACACAGGGGAGCATCTGCTTTTATTTTTAGCAGTTCGAAATTGGTGATGTTTTCATGAGATCGTGTTATTACATTGCTGAATTCTAAGGAAGTTTGGAAGCTTCACAAAAATCTCTGATACTATGAAATCCAGCTGTGAGGGTCAAGGTTGGTTACCACACCTGCTTTGCCTTTAGGTGTATTCTGAATGGTAAGGGGCAAGCTTCTAGTCTCAAATGGTCTCCCTCATTATAACCAACATTCTGTCTTAGGAGAGTTACATTTCTTTAGGGTAGACACATTCATTCCAAGAATCTTCTTGGCAGATATTCCTGCAGACTCCAATTGAAATGATAAACTGCCGACGCGGGTACTGATTGGTTTCTTCTCCGACTTGGGAGTTGCCCTCTGGGGATGAAAGAGAAAGTTACAAAGATCAAAAATGGGCACAGAAGTATCAAGTTGGGGCCTGGCGCAGTGGCTTGTGACTGTAATCCCAGCACCTGGGAGGCCAAGGATGGTGGATCGCTTGAGCTCAGGAGTGTGAGACCGACCTGGGCAACATGGTGAAACTCTGCCTCTACCAAAAATACAAAATAATTAGCTGGGGACCTGAGTGGGAGGATGGCTTGAGCTTGGGAGGCAGAGGTTACAGTGAGCCAAGAGTATGCCACTGCACTCCAGCCTCGGTGAACAGAGCAAGACCCTGTCTTAAAACAGAAAAGTATCAAGTTGAGTGTTGGCTGCTGGGAAATAGCACCCCAGGAGTAAGTGTGATTTCTGCCATTGTAGCCACATGTGCAATGGGTTGAAAAGAATTAGAATAACCCCTCTCTCAAGAGATTGTGTTCTTTCATTTGAGGAGCTGGGTGATCTTCATGAAGCTGGACACAGAGAAGGCATTATTTGTAAATGGAATGTGTGAATAAGAAAATAATTGATGTCTCCATTGATTTGCTACCAGTTTTATGAGTTCCCCCCAAAAGGATTAAGGACCAAAAAAAAAAAAAAGATGGTATAGCTCACTCCTGTAATCCCAGCACTTTGGGAGGCCGAGGTGGGTGGATCACAAGATCAGGAGTTCAAGACCACCCTGGCTAATACGGTGAATCCCCGTCTCTACTAAAAACACAAAAAGTAGCCAGGCATGGTGGCACACGCCTGTAATCCCAGCTATTTGGGAGTCTGAGGCAGGAGAATCGCTTGAACCTTGGAGGTAGAAGTTACTGTGAACCGAGATCATGCCACTGTACTCCAGCCTGGGCTACAGAGCGAGACTCCATCTCAAAAATAAGTAAATAAATAGTGAAAAAAAAAACAAAGTGTGATCTATTCCCTTTGGGGCATTTTTCTAAAAAGCCATATGCCTGTAGAGAGGGGAGGCTTGCCATCTGGAATTTGCATTCTTTGTGACTTTATAATTCATATTCTGATTATCAGCTCTGGATCATACTCTTTGTCTTGGTATATCAGAATGGACCACACATCTTCTCAGGCACAAATATTTTAGCACCCTGTTCAACCATAAAACTATCTTTATTAGGTACATTTGCCCAGGATTGATAGGGTTGGCAAAAAGTAGATTTTCACAGCTTTCCCCCACATTCTGGGGGCACCCAAATTGGAACCAGTAGACCTTCACACAAGATTGTTTAGGTTCTTGGGATTTTTATTTTTACTTCAAGATAGAGACCAAGGTCATGCTAAAATGAAATTTCCAGAAAAACAGAAAATGGCTATTTACCTCGTAAGCCTTTGGGGGAAAAAATTATATTCCATTTGAATAATGGGAGCTTAAACATGTCGGTATTTTTCCATTTCTGTGTTACTAATGATTTAATATATCTGCAGAAACCTAGTAAATTACAGAAAAGCTCATAGTGATTCAGACCATTTTTGTTTGTCAGGTACTTCTTTTTCGTAGACTGTTTCTTGTTCTAAGACAGTGTTACATTAAAAGGAATCCTCAGTCTTTCCTTTTCCATCCTGTTCCCTCTTAACAGACCAAGAGGAAATATATTTGCTTTAAACAAATTTTTCTTTTTTAAAAATAGTATTTTCTATAAAACGTTAACACACAATAATACATATGCAAGCAGATTACTATTTAAAAAGACAAAGTTGGATTTATCTTTTAAAACAGACTCTCCTAGGATATAGACAAACTATTTTAGACATGAGTTCAAAGTTCCTCATTACTTTTTTTTTTTTTTTTTTTAACAGAGATGGGGTTTCACCATGTTAGCCAGGCTGATCTTGAACTCCTGACCTCTGGTGATCCACCTGCCTTGGCCTCCTAAAGTGCTGGGATTACAGGTGTAAGCCACCACGCCCTGCCCCTCATTACCTTCTTAGCAAAGATCTTTACTCCTCTAAGATGACAGTTTTTGCAAGTTGGCTTACATAGAATGTAATGTATTTTTGTAATGCTACATGTTGAAAATGAATACAACTGAATGTAGTCACATGACAAAGAAAAAAATAGTCCTAGCTCTTGCCAATCAGGTGAGTTTATTCATGACTGACATGGGATGTCTGTGGGTCCATTTGTGGTCTTTCCTACCCTGTACAGTACCAGCCCTTTTTCCTGTGCCTCCTCTGTAAATCGTTCAGCTGAGACCTCATGCAGGCTGCCTGGACCTGCATCTGCAGAAACGGGTAGGAAGCTCAGAAGGAGCGTCACACTCAGAACATCTTCCTGATGAGCAGCAACCTGAGGATCGTCCTTTTCCAAGAAGGCCCCTTGGTTACCGGGTGAACTTCCATTGACCTACATGGTGACATCCCCCAAGTCCGTGTCTGAGCCTTCAGCTCGCTCCGGAGCCCCTGAGTTTTGTGCCCACTGCCTGCAGGATGTCTCCACCTTGGATATTTCACGTCATGCCCAAAACTCAGTGCCTCCCTTTCACATACCCCTGAGCCCACTGCAGTGTTCCAGGTCTCACTGTCCACAAAGTTTGCCCGAGCTAGAAGTTTCATGAGATTCACTGGGGGTGACCAGCCATCCTGGTTTGTCCAGCACTTTCCCTGGTTTCTCACTGAAATGCTGGGAAACCCTCAGGACAGCTGGTCATCTTGGAGTCATGTGAAGCACTGCCTGCTCCCTTCTGCCATGTCTGGTCATTCACCAAGTCCCGTCGACTCCAGCTTCTTTTGACATCCTGCAGCTCAACCTGCCTCTCTTCACTCCCATAATTTCAGGTGAGGGCCAGGCTCTTTCATATCCCCCCTGGGCTGTCATAGTACTCCCCTGCCTGGGTCACCACCCCCACTCCTGTCCCATTCATCCACTATCCCAACTGCCACCAGATGGACCTTTCTAAACCACACATCTCATTACTCACATACATACACATGGGTGCACAACATACATGTGTGTGCGCACACACACATACTTCCACTGGCGCTGAAACCCATTGGGTGGGTCCACTTTGCCTTCATGTTTGGTACCAAACACATTGGCATGTCATTCAATGCCTTTTATTTTTTAGGCGGAGTCTCGCTCTGTTGCCCAGGCCTGGAGTACAGTGGTGTGATCTCAGCTCACTACAACCCCCACCTCCTGGCTTCAAGAGACTCTCCTGCCTTAGCCTCCCAAGTAGCTGGGACTACAGGCACCCGCCACCATGCCCAGCTGATTTTTATATTTTTAGACCCCCGCCACCATGCCCAGCTGATTTTTGCATTTTTAGTAGAGACGGGATTTCACCATGTTGGCCAGGCTGATCTCGAACTCCTGACCTTGTGATCCACCCACCTCAGCTTCCCAAAGTGTTCGGATTACAGGTGTGAGCCACTGTGCCTGGCCTCAAGGCCCTTTATTATCTGATCCCTGCTTAACTGTCTGCCTCCATCTCTCACTGCTTTCATTTTTACCTTTACCAGTGTATTATATAATAAAGAATACAGATGGAGAATTACATAAGGTGAGGTCCAGAGGGTTCCCAGCACAGGCACTTCTGTCCCTGTGGGGGTGGGAGTGAGGGGAGCCCATCACCCTCCTAGCCGTGTGGATGTATTCACCAACCTGAAAGCTCTCCGAACCCCATACTCTAGGGATTTGTATGAAGGCTTCATCCTGAAGGCGTGATCATTTGTTAACTCAAAATCCAGCATTTCTCCCCTGACTCTGAAAGATGGGGGTGTGGGACTGAAAGTTGCAAGCTTCTCATGGCCTGTCCCTTCTGGTAGACTTACCCCCATCTGAAAGCTATCCCTGATGTCCAGTTTCTTACTGCTTTCTTCCTCCTTGATTTGGAGTGAATACACTGCAAGCTTTTTCAAAGACCATGCTTGCTGTCACCTGAGCCTTTGTGAGTACTGCTGTCACTACCCGGGTTCTCCTCCCCTCTCCTGCGTCACTTAGCCTCTCCCTTTCGTGGGGGACACCTTCAAGATACCATCCTCTAGGAGACCTCCGTGACACTCCCGCCACCTGCTCTGTCATTAGCCATCTCCTCTTCCGTCCCCTGCGGTACCCTCTGCTGCTTTATTGATGCCTGACTCCGCGTGTTCCAGTTACCATTTGGCTTGTTGTGTCCTCACAGACTTTAAGAGCAGCACCTTTGATTTTTTCCT